CCCATGTTGTTCGAATTGAACATCTGTTAAGAAACTTTAAATGTTCTAAGAACATGTGTGCAAAATTTACTGTGGATGATCTACAGATTGAAGCAACTCCCTAAAGACTTTTGTTCTACTAAATTGCTTTCTCTTTTAATTAAAGTAACATTTTTTTTTAAATCAAAATTATAGTCTAACTCATTAAAGTGAGCAACATGTAGCTATATCACAGAAAACATTAGTCTTTTGACATATGAATGCCCAACAGTTCAGTTTTATACATAAAACTTGATTATAATAGTAAAAGCTTGTATAAAACCAGGCACACAAAAAACTGATTAGAAAGAAATGGTACACACTGTGCCATGAAGGATCAAAACAGCACTCTTCTGGTTTTAATTCAGTGTTTTCCTTTTCCTAGACCACTTGATATCTAAGACAAGAGAGTCCAATCTGCTATGAACTTAGATTCTTGCTTTTTCCAAGGGTATTAATATAAAGGGAATGGAAGGGAACTGAGTGTAATTTAAACTCTGCTAAAAAATTTCCACTTTTTTCACCAATAACACGCAACAACATATATAACAGCCATTCTTCCTAATTTTAGTTCCATGGTAAAATCATTTACAATACTTTTGGTAATAAAACTATTAGTAATGCATTTTACTTTATACATATGGCCATATTCTGTCAACAATAGCTGCATTGATTCCTAGCTACCAACAAACCATTTGTTCATGATTATCAAATTTTTATATATATATATATATATATATATATAAATGACAAAATTCAATGTCTAAACATAGATTTTCCTTTCTCCTACTACCAGAAAAATTTCTTCCATTGGTGTAAAGAATGGTTGAGTAATGGTAAAAATCAGTGGACTGTGCTATATAAAGCCTTGCCTATATATATTCCATTCAAGTGCAATCAACTCAAAAATAGAATAGGAATTATAGTTTCAATTTTCCCATACTACTACCAGAATTTGATGTTGCTATATGTGTATGAAAATGCCACACTTATTAAAAGAGAAAGTAACTTAGATGGAAAATTCTTGAGAATGCCACAATCAAGTCTTACCAAAATATAAATCTGAACCTAATTTTTTTTTTCAAGTATCTCCTTTCCTGAAAGAAATGCTCCTTTCCCAACAGACATGACTATAACAATTTTTTAAAATTAAAAAGAAAACATTTGAATTCAAAACCTATTTTTTAATATATATATATAATACACAAATTAATCTCAAAGTAATATAAATAATAATTACATTATAAAAAAAAAATTCTACATTTACTCATTTTTGTTTATTAGACATTAAATTTCATCACTTAGCGTCCTCCATAATTTACCTTGACTTCCAGTCTGATGTATATTTGTGGGTATTCTTAAATTTAAAAATCCTGAAAAATTAATGACATTTTTACTTTTCTTTATAAATACCTATTGCAAAAGGAAATCCTTACATTTGCCTTGATAAAGTCCACCCAAAAACAAAATATATATGTAATAATTTATAAGGGACAAGTTTTTAAATATTTAATGCAATAAAGCTGACTGTAAAATATAGTATAATGAAAACTGAAATTAAAAAATCTGGTATTATTTATAGGTTTCTAAGGAAAAAAAAAATTCAGAATTTCTAAAAAGTATCTGGTATTAATTATAGGATCCAACTTATAATCTGTTAATGCCTATCTTCCCAGAAACTTGATGGTAGGCATTAATAGGTTAATAAATCCTATCTATATTAAAGGTTATATAAAAAGCCAGTAAATAAACTATATGTAATGTTGTATTACAGCATATCTCTCTTCAGTGTAGTCTGCAATGAAGCGCTTATTGATGCATTCTTGCAGTGGTCTTCCCATAGTCCTAGAGCAGAGCCCTCATCAACAAAATCCTATAGTAAAGTCCTCTATAGTAGATCTCTTTATATGAATTTCATGTCTTTTTCATATTTACTGTTTATATATAATCTTTTCACCCCAAGCAAGGTAACAAAGCCACTAACACACAGAGGGTTACTGAGTGTGAAAGAATATAAGAAAAACATAAAGGAACAAGAATAATAAAAGAACAGGAATAAAGGTGACAGAAGATAATGACTGACAATGCATTTAAATTTTTGAACAAACCTGACTGGAAAGCAAGATGGCAGAAGAGAGTCTCAAGTCTGAAATGCTAGAAAAGAAACTGCTAGCATAGAACTTACAGTTGCGTCTAGCCATTTAGACTAATATATATTACATAACAGAAATTCTATGTTATGCAATATATATATATATATATATATATATATATATATATTACATAACAGAGAAATCCAAAATTACATCATGAGTATAAACTATTTCAACTAACACTGAATGCGTCAGCCTTATTCAACTCAAACAGTGGGGTGTATTCAGTGTTGGAACTAGAGATTTATATGCTCTGTTATAATAAATAAATTGAGCTCTTTTTGCTGATCAGTTTTGATATTTTATATTATTAGGATCCACTTGGATTATATTACAATGGGTTTATTACCTGTATATATATATATATATATATATATATATATATATATATATATATATATATATATTTCATAGATTAACTTTTTTTGCAATTATTCAAGCCACTCTTCAGAGATTTCATTATATATATATATATATATATATATATATATATATATATATATATATATATATATATATATATATATGTGTGTGTGTGTGTGTGTGTGTTTGTGTATTTAGAGAATCTTGAATCCAAAGAAGAATTTGCAATGTTATCAGTCCTGACTTGGCATCAACTTCAGTCACTTTCCCACCCCACCTTCCCATAACATCTTTCCTGTGTCTTTTTTTATAAATATTTTCATGGTAATTGTTCTGATGAGATTTCCTCATTGGTACCTTGATTTTATGAATTTAAGCAAGGTTTCATTATTCTACTGTTGAAATGGCTAGATACAACCGTAAGTTCTATATTAACAGTTTCTTATCTCGCACTTCTTGCCTGAGAAACTATATTCCAGCTTTCCTGTCAACTTT